ACTCTGCAACTCCGATGAACAATTTATGCCAACTCAACACCTGGCAAAAAATCCAGTATCTGGAAACAAAGAGTAATGCTAAACCTAGGCACAGAATCTGCTAACATGATGGGATACAAATGATACCAATTTCCATGGGGAGTGCTCAAACCAAACTCTCTTGCTTCATGGAGAACTGAGCCTGGTACGCCTACTGTGTAGGGATAATTGCGTCTGTAATGAGAAGTTATGCTCTCTCTCAGTTGTAACATCCATCCCTCAGGGAGGAGAAAACACTCATTTATTCACTCACTCATTCACTAAACATGCATGTGTTAGGGGTCCTCCATATGCAAAGCACTGGGATGCAGGTCGCTGGGATATATGGATGAAGTGACACAGTATTTTCTCTCAAAGAGCTTACAACTGGTGAATGAGAGCAAGCTGTACACATAAAACTGGGTGACACATGCAGTAAAATGGAAGCAAGTCCAAGATACACAGGGGAAGAGGAAGGAATGCTTAAGTCAGCTAGAGGGAGTCAGGGAAGGCTCCTAGAGGAGGTGAATCAACCGGATTCAAGATCTGAGGGATAATCAGAAGTTTGTGTGATACACAGAACAACTGAGAGAAGGGAGCCTGAGACAGAAATCGGCTTGTTATTGCCTTTCAGGACAGCTGGGGTGCTGGAGCCAAGAACAGACCTGGAACAAAGTTAATACTATTTTTATAAGCTAGAAAAATATCAGCAGCAGGAGCCCTGGCCAGAACCACCCCCGCAAAGAGCAAACAAAGCTAGTCCTATCTTCTGGCTGTCTGCTGCAGAACTTACTAACCAGCACCTTAAGAACAAAATGTTCTTTAATCTTTGATTTTTATTCCCACAAAGTCCTTCCTCCTCTTTTTCCAGAACTGGAAAAAGCAGGGGTTGAGTGTTACTTGCCTCTTTGATCTTCATCCTCCTGTCCCAGGCTCCCTTGAGAATGAGAGCCCAGGGAGATTTCTCCAAAGCAGAGGGCTGACCCCTCCTATCAGTCAGAACGGAGGCTCCAAGGTAGGTCATGCCGGGTCATCCCGTGAAGGGGCCGTAACTGTCGAAGCCTGTTTGAGGGAGGCTTGGATGGCCTCCAATTCTGACCTCCAAAGCTGAATTCTTAACCTGACATTCAGCAACCTCTTAACTTGGAGTTCATTTACCCATTTCTTGAGACTGCTTCTGATCTCAACCTGTACAAGATCGAAAGCATTAAATCCTGCATTCTGTTCCCAAGTGCCAGGCAAGGAGAATCAGGGCACATTCAGGGAAGGCTGACAGAATCCGGAAGTCTGAGGTTCTTTTCCAACTGCCTGTCCAAAAAGAAGACCATTGTCCTGGTACACACCTGACTACAACAGTAACTCAGAGAACTTCCAATTTAAAAGCTTTTACTTTGGTCAGGCGTTGTGATTTCAGAGTGAGAAAACCAAAGAGAGAAGCCTCATTATTATGTGCCTACTATGTGCCAGCTGCTTTATCTTCGCTGCTTTTCTGCTTTACCAATGTTCTTAACAACCCTGGTGGGGGGGGGGCGGTGGGGGGGGGGCACATTGCTATCTCTTATTGCAGAAGAGGAAACACAGGAGTGAAGAGAGATGATATTTGGCCCAAGGTACACAGGTAGAGGGAGTAAGAATTTAAACTCACATCTTCAGACTCCACATTCAGTTCCCTTATTAGAGCATCATAACAATAGTGGTCTCCAACCAGTATTGTTAAGCAATAAACATGCAGGTCGGGAAAGAAGAGCCAGAATTTTCTCTTCGGAAGGAGTGGCACTCTGTCTGCTCTGTTCACACTATAACCCCCAGCGACTAGACCAGTAATTGGCAGGTTTGCAGGTACTCAGTATGTCTCTTTAGTGACTAGGCAGCTGGGTGCATCAATGACCTTCTCAAGACTCTCAGGCCTGCACAGGGCACCGGCAGGGTGAGAAACAAGAGGCAACGTTTGCTTCCAGGCCTCCTCTCTTCACCAGACATCCCAATTCTGTCACGACTGTAAGAGGAGAGGAGGACGCATAAGAAAGTATACGAAGGGTAAAACTTGGTCAAAATTATGATCTTGACTGTCTTGCAGTTGCTGGGAAGCCCCCCTTCCTGTGCCCTTCCAGACACCACCAGCCCCTAAGCTCAGCCCTTAAAGAATCCAAGGCCCTTATTCTACCTTTCCACGTAAAGAGCTTACTTTTGGAAAACATAAGGGAAACTCCTTAACTGAAGAGTATTAAAAGCCTGAATTAAAGCTTCGAAGGGTAAAATTCCCGTCACAGAACCATCTCTGATTTAGGAAAAGAGGGAGGTCCCTCTAATGGCCTGTATTCCTCCCCGTGGAGCTCCCACACTTTGAGTGTCTACAAATAGCAGGTACCATATGGGGCACAGCAAGTGCTGGGCAGCAGTGAAAAAGGGTGCTTTGGTTCGTCCCTTAGGGAGGTCTGGGGATCTGACAAGGAAACAGGAGTCCTGAAGCCCCTGCAAGGTGCAGGCTTTCTTTCAGCAAGCAGTGGTCCAAGCCAAGTCCTTATCACCTGGCTGGGGGTGGATGGTTGAAATGAATTGAAAAAGCATGATAACTGAAAAAGCACGATGGAGAACGCTTCCCTGACCTCAAACATGACACAGGATATCAGGATTACAAGGGGACAGGAAAACTCTCTATCTATGTAGACCCCGAGTTCTTTCTGTGCCTGCTCAAAATCATGCCACTCCCATCAAAAGAACACATTGAAAAGGGAGAGAAACACCCTTGCCTACACTCAGTATTACCTGCCTGCCATTCCACCGACCCACAGGTACTACTGGCTGTTTATAACTTGTCAGGCATTGTGTTAGATCCTGGACACATAAAAGTGAACAAGGCAGACACATTCATAAACTGATAAGCACTACCCTGCTCCGGAAGTCCATGGACTACGTAGAGGAATCAGATACTGCTTGTTATCCTGTTGCATAAGGAAACATTAACTTCCACTCTACAGGTTAAGGCCATTTCACCTTATTCTTGTCTTAATATGACTGTATTCATTTAATAAATTTATCAAGCACTTATAGGAGCCTGATCCAGGGCTCAGCATAGGTGATACAAGAATAATAATATAATGCCCTCAAGGAGCTCAGAGTCCACTGGAAAAGAGAAGCAGATAAATGAGCAATTACAACCCAGTGTGATTATTTCTCTGGGAATACAATTATTCCAATCCAGTGTGATTATTACCCAGTGTGATTATATTACAACCCAGTGTGATTATTTCTCTGGGAATATAATCTGAGTGTTCCATGGAAGGTTATGCAAAGAACAAAGCGTCTGCTATGAGTCTTCAATTTCAAGTAGACATTAGGCAGTGGGAGAAGGAGAGGACCAATAAACCAATCTGGGAAGAGAAATACACATGTATTTATACAAACTGGATTCTGGGAGCACAAGTCCATTTAAGTATTTAAAAGATAACTCTTGGTTCTAACACAAAGTATGGACCAGAATATATTTCAAAACTCCTTTGACTATGATCCAAGGTAAGAAATTCATTTTCTTCATGGTCCAGTGTCCACGTTCACTACCCATAAAATATAAACATAAGTCCCATAAAAACAGTGTTGACCCTTACTATGTGAGATGTACTCTGATGTTTTCTACTCCAGTTGATTCCACTCTGAAAATCCAATGGTCATGACCTACCAAATTGATAGCATGAAGTCTTAGCCATAATTAAAAAAACAAAAACACTGTTAGAAAGAAAGTCTAGGGGAAAATATGACTATAGTGGAAGTGAGAGAGATTGAGAATTGAAGAGGAGAGAGGAGAGAGAGGAGGGGAGGGGAGGGGAGGGGAGGGGAGGGAAGAGGAGAGGAGAGGAGAGGAGAGGAGAGGAGAGGAGAAAGAAGAAAGAAAAGAAAAGAAAAGAAAAGAAAAGAAAAGAAAAGAAAAGAAAAGAAAAGGAAAGGAAAGGAAAGGAAAGGAAAGAAAAGAAAAGAAAAGAAAAGAAAAGAAAAGAAAAGAAAAGAAAAGAAAAGAGACAAGAGGGAAGAAGGTGGGGGGGAAGGGAAGGGAAAGAGAAGGGGAAGGGAGGAAGGAAAAACTGTAATGAGGATGAAGGAGGGGTAAGAGTCATCAACCCCTTCCTGTAGTCCTTGTCTCCCTGCCTGCCTTCCTACTAAAACTCATGGAGAAGACACACTGGTTTGGCATAGTTTTAAATTCACCGTCCCCAAGCACCATGTCTACGACACATTGAAGTGTTCAATGGGCCTTTGAAATAATAAACGCCTGAACGCCAGATGTGAGAATTATTTAGGAGATAAAATCAAGACTGCACCCACATAACTGGATATAGAATATAAATCAAAGTATGAAAAGAAATCCATTAGACTTGTGAGGGTTTTGGAGTGCCTTTAGAACAAACTGTACAGGTAAGTGTACCACCATCATACATGCTAGCTGAAGCACACACATCTCTTTCAAATTCTCCGTAAACCAAAGAACCATCCAGATATTGATTCGGGCCATTTTTTTTCTGTTATTCTGTACTGAAAAAATTAACAAGATTATAAATACTACATGTGATTAAAAGTTTGATAACTCTATCCAAATGACTAACTGTAAAAAGGCTTTTCCTGGGGCACCTGGGTCACTCAGACGGTTAAGCGTCCAACTTCAGCTCAGGCCATGACCTCGCGGTTCGTGGGTTCAGGCCCTGTGTCGGGTTCTGTGCTGACAGCTTGGAGCCTGGAGCCTGCTTTGGATTCTGTGTCTCCCTCTCTCTCTGCCCCTCCCTTGCTTGTGCTCTCTCGCTCTCTCACTCTCTCTCTCTCTCTCAAAAATAAATGTTAAAAAATTAAAAAAAAAAAAAAAAGACTTTTCCTTACTATACCTGGAACCACCAGCCCTTGATCCCTGCTTTAAAAACAGGAAAGGAGTGTCTTAGGTTCCAAGGAATATTCCGTTTGAACACAGTGTTGGTCATGGACACAGGGTGGGAGGTTACCTAGGCCTCCTGCGTGGGCATCAATAAGTGAGGCTGCCACCGCAATTCCAGCAGGAAGTCCAAGGTCTCTGGCTGCCTCTGGTGTGAGCCCATTTCCAAGAGAAGCTCCAGGAGGCAGTACTTGGTTTCCTGAGTAGACATGAGAAACAACAAACACCTGTCAGTTTGAAAAACACAAAAGCAAACACAGGGTTTTCTTAAGGGAACCTCTCTGCTCCCGCCCCTGTCTTCTGCATTTTCTCAACCTCATGAAGATAAAAACCATGCACCCACAAAGAGTCCCTTTGCTCCTTTGGTGACTTAGGTGTATGTCCTTGGTTCCCGTGGGTCACGCTCTGGGGTACTTTACAAAATCAAGAGCTCTAAGGTACCTTTCAAATTGGAGAAAGATTCCATTCACGGGAAATTCCAAAGATATAAACACAGTGGCCTCTTAAAGACCAGTTAAAACAGTCAAACTGTTCCAAACGGGCTTCCTAACACAGCAGCAGCCCTAACAGCATACCTTACACACACACACACATCCATACACAGTCCTGGGTTAACATATATTCCTAAGGAAGTTGAGAACCTTTACTTGTGTAGTTGCTTCCTGTCAGAGGATAAGGGAGGGAATTATTTTGTTCCAATAAAAAAAAAAAAAATCTCTTCAAAGTTTTTCTCGGTTGGAAACGAGAGCCCAGTCTAAACCTTGCAAACTTAACAAGGCTGCTACTTGCACAACCACAGAATACAATCTGAATGGTGTTCTTTGGAGTTGTGCAATGCAGCGACCCTGATATTTCAAGTGACCTTGAATTCCTGCAGTCAGTCAGGCCTTCAGTTAAGAATTTATTGATTGTCTTGCTTTGTGTGGGCGCTGTGGCGCTGTAAAAGGCAGTCCTTGCCCCCAACCTAGTTAGGGAGATGAGATCAGGACACAAGGAGCCATGTAAGTCAGAACAGAATGAAGAAATCCATCTGTTCTCAGGTGTTTAGCAGAGGCTGAGTCCTCCCCCTCCCCTTGTCAAGAAATTCATAATTAGTGTTTGTGCACCGCAAGGAGGGGGTCGGGGGAGATCCACATATATGCTAAGACCTCTCTGAGCTCCAAGATTCTAAGATTCTGAATGTGTGCTCAGTAATTTGCTTGATGCTAAGATACCTACCACTTGTTCGTTGTTCCAAGGAGCCCCAGGGCTAGGCTGAGGTGCTGCAGGACTTTTGGGGTGAAGGGGAAGGTGGGGTTGAGGGAGGCAGAGGGTGAATGGCTCACCAATCTCCTCTAATTGGAAACAAAAAACCCTCCACAACACCATTTTTATCCATTTTAGGTAACGAGCTTCATCTATAAATGAATTTGGAAAAAAAAAAAAGTCTGCTAAGAAAATCAAGAGGAAGAAGACTGCAACTGTTGCAATGCATCCTGGAGCTTCACTGTCCAATTTGGTAGCCGCTTGGCATGTGTGGACTAAACGTTTGAACTGTGGGCTGGAAGAACTCAAGGACCTTAATTTTCCACTTACTTTCATTTTAATTCATTTCAATTTAAAAACTGACACTCAAGTCAGCAACTGAAAAACTTTTTAAGGATGTTTGAAACCACTGTGGCGTGCAAATCTACTTTTTGAATGTTAACTGAGGACATCTAAATCAAATATTTACAATGAAGTTTTTAGTGTATGTATTGGGAGGTACTAAGCAGAAAATATGCATCAGATGTCAAAAACTGTATGGAAAAAATAAATGTAAAATATTCTTAACTTTTATATCAAATGCATGTTGGAATCCTATTTTGGACATATTAGATTATACTACATTGAAATTAATTTCACCTATTGCCTTTTACTTTAATGTGGCTACTAAAAAATTTTAAACTGTGTATGTGGCTCATATTGTATTTCTATAGGACAGCCCTGGTCTGGAAGACAAAATCAAGATGCTCCAATGTTGGGGCAGAGAGAAGGGAGAGTTTCTAGCCTGCTTTGAATACCTAAGCCAGCAGAATCCTAAAGGAGAGTGGTGCCCTTCAAGGTAGACAATCTGTCTCTGGACACGATGTGGAGTATGTCACTGTATCTAGGATCTAGCACATAAAAGACAGCATTTGCCTTTACTGAGCATTTCTGTGAGAGGGACAGTGCTAAGGATCTGCTATGCATTTTCTCAGTTCATTGTCACATAATGCCATGTGAAGGATACTATTACTGTCCCCATTGCACAGATGGATGGGGAAAGTCAGGTTTATGAAGGGAAGGGAAGTTCCTTAGAGTCATACAGCTTAAATGTTGGGAGTACAGGCCATAGATTCCACTCCAACCGATGCAAACCTGTGCTCTTATTGGTTAAATTACATATTGGTGGATCTGTTTTTAAGAATTTTAAGTGAAGAAAACAAGAGAAGAAAGGACTAAAGAAACAAGAGAAAACAAATTTTTTTTTTAAATTTTTTTAATGTTTATTTATTTTTAAGAGAGAGAGAGAGAATGCAAGCAGGGGAGGGCAGAGAAAGAGGAAGACACAGAAACCGAGGCAGGGTCCAGACCGTGAGCCATCTGCATAGATCCCCACGCGGGGACTCTAACTCATGA